CTGCTTTAATACACCCCCCCCCCCCCCTCCCGCAAGATGGAGAGTAGATATTAGCTACTCCCATCTTGGACAAATGTGAGTAAATGACAGGGCAAGGACTTGGTAAACATATCAGCAAGTTGTAGCTGTGTAGTAACATGAGCAATCTGAAGTGTGCCTTCTTGTATTTTATCCCTTATAAGATGACAATCCACTTCAATGTGTTTTGTCCATTCATGAAACACCGGATTAGATGCAATATGCAAGGCGGCTTGATTGTCACAAAATAGCTCAGTTGACTGAGGATGAGAAATGGCAAGATCAGTCAACAATTGCCGTAGCCAAGTGAGTTCAGTAGATGTAGAAGCCATGGCTCGGTATTCGGCCTCAGCAGAGGATCGAGATACCATAGTCTATTTCTTCGACCTCCAAGAAATGAGAGAGTGGCCCAAAAAACACAAAAACTAGTTAAAGACCTGCGAGTATCAGGACAGGATGCCCAGTCCAAATCAGAGTATCCAATGAGCTGTAATGAAGAAGAAGCAGACAAGAGGATGCCTTCGCCAAGAGCATTCTTGAGATAACGTAGCACTTTATGAGCTGCAGCAAGATAAGTAGTGGTAGGGCAATCCATGTATTGACTCAAGACTTGAATGGGATAGCTTATGTCAGGTCTGTTAAGAGTAAGATAAAGAAGTCTACCAATTAGTTGGCGGTAAGGGGTGGGATCAGACAAGGGGGTGCCAGATGCTTTAGATAATTTGTGGTTCTGATCCATGGGTATTTTGAGTGGTTTGGAAGCAAGATTATCAGTATCAGCCAACATATCTAGTATGTATTTTCGCTGGCAAAGATGAATTCCTGTTGGAGAACGAGCCACTTCAATGCCTAAGAAATACCTCAGGGAACCAAGATCTTTAATGCGAAAATGGGTGTTCGAAAAATTTCGGAGAACAGAGATGGAGGTAAGAGAGCTGCTAGCAATTACTATGTCATCAACATAGACAAGTAGTGCTGTAAAATCAGTGGCAGTGGTATATGTGAAAAGGCTGTAATCAGCCTTGGATTGCTTGAAACCAAAACTGATCAAAGATTGAGAGAACTTATCATACCACTGCCGTGAGGCCTGTTTGAGGCCATATAGACTTTTGAGCAATTTACAGACTTGTCCAGGTTGACCTTTAGTATATCTGGGGGGCTTCTTCATATAGATATCTTCATGTAAATCTCCATGAAGAAATGCATTATTAGCGTCAAACTGTTGTAAATGCCATCCATTAATGGCAGCTAAGGCAAGCAGTGTTCGGACTGTAACAATCTTGGTAGCGGGGGAGAATGTTTCATGATAATCAACTCCCTCTTGCTGAGTAAAACCACGAGCAACTAAACGTGCTTTCTTCCGTTCAACTGTACCATTAGAATGGTATTTGGTTTTATACACATATTTGCAATCAATTGGAGATTTTCCAGGAGGTAAATCTGTAAGGATCCATGTCTTGTTTAGTTCTAGAGCATCAAGTTCGGCTTCCATTGCTTTGCACCAATCAAGGTCCTTGGCAGCTTGTTTAAAAGTTTGTGGGTCTTGTTGTGAAGAAATGGTAGAAGAAAATAAAGCAAATGAAGGTGATAAATGTGTATAGGAAATTAAAGAGGACAGAGGAAAATGAATACCTTAAGGAGCTGATGTCGTGTCCACTGATTGTTTGTATGAGAGTGAGCTGACTTGTTGACAATGAAAATCCTTCAAGTAGTTAGGAGCTGTTCGTGCACGGGTTGATTTGTGAAGGGAAGGTTTAATTGGTATGGCAGTAGAATATAAGGAATAGGAATCTGGTGGAGATGTATGTGCAGGAAATGGTGTTGTAGCAGTAAGGTTGGGATGGGGAGAAGAGAGAGGAGAGGATATGGGTGAAGGGGATGGGGAAAAAGGAGAGGATGAAGTTCGTGAAGGGACATATTGCATGGGATAAGAAGATGGTAAAGGTAGGGGAAGGGAAGGAGACATAGTGGTGGTTTGTTGATGAAATGGAAAAATGTGTTCATGGAATGTTACATCCCGAGAGAGGAAAACAATCTTGGTATTTAGATCAAGCAGTTTGTAACCTTTTATACCAAAAGGATAGCCAAGAAAAACACAATGATGACCTCTTGGATCAATTTTTTGGCGATTGTGGGAGAGGGTGGAAGCAAAGCAAAGACACCCCAATATTCTCATGTGAGAGTATGTGGGAGGCCTTTTAAACAAGAGCTCAAAGGGTGTTTTATTTGAAAGTAATGGACTAGGAATGTGATTAATAATGTAAGCAACTGTAAGTATGCAATCTGTCCAATACAGTATAGGAATGATGGACTGAATTTGTAAGGCTCGGGCAATATTTAATAAATGTTGGTGTTTACGCTCAACTTTTCCATTTTGCTGTGGAGTTTCCACACATGTTCGTTGATGAATAATGCCTCGGTTGTTGAAAAATTCAGTCATTTGAAATTCAAGACCATTATCACTACGAAGGATTTGAACGTTGGTATGAAATTGAGTGTGGACCAGATTACAAAAAGCCTCGATACATTTTCTGGTATCTGATTTAGCTTTAAGCAAATATATCCAAGTACTTCGAGAATGGTCATCAATGATTGTTAAAAAATATTTTGTCCCATCATATGCTGTGAGGGAATGGGGTCCCCATATATCACAGTGTATGAGTTCAAAAATGGCTTTACTTTGATGAGTACTATCAGGAAAAGGTAGACGATGATGCTTTGCAAGAGGACAAACAAGACAGGGATTTTTATCAAAAACAGTAGAAACATGATTTTGAATACAAGGATCTTTGATTACATGAATTTTGGAGGTGGGAGTGTGACCCAACCTACAATGCCAGAGATCGAAAATCAGATTCACATCCTTGAAAATGGCTGAAACAGAAATATTTTTGTGTAATGAAATGGAAAAGTGGTCAAAAAGTGTTGTATGAGGAACTTGAGCAGGAATCAGATTGTAAAGTCCAGCTTTCATCTCACCCATGCCAATCGTGGTCCACGTCAAAAGGTCCCGAATAAAACAAAATTGTGAAAGAAAAAGAACACAATAAGAGAAAGAGTTGATTAGTTGTTTGACAGAAATCAAATTAAAGTGAAAAGAAGGCACACATAAAACATTGTGTAAAGTTAATTTTAGGTTGATATGGATTGTGCCGATATGGGAAACAGGCGCTGTTTGGCCATTTGGTAGCTTAACAACAAAGGAAACAGAAGAGGTTATTGAAGAAAAGAATGAGGTACTACAGATCATATGATCTGTAGCGCCTGTGTTAATTAACCAAGGAGTATGTGTGTGTGAGGAGGAGGAAATACCATTCATGGTGGGTGAGAAGGAACAATCTGCCTGGACATTATTGACTACATGCGTAGCAGTGGAGGCCTCCGTTGGTTGCACTAGAGCCAAGAATTTCTGGTATTGATCCTTAGTAAAGGACATCTTGATATCAGAAATTTCTACTCCAGGGTCGAGAGAGGACATGTTAGCATATGGGTTGTACTGCTTGGTTTTGCCATGAAGCTTGTGGCCTGGTGGATACCCGTGTAGTTCATAGCACTTTGCAGCTATATGTCATATCATATGACAGTGGGTGCAGGTTGGTGGTTGAGCATTGCCAGCTTTGAAACAAGCATCAAGAGTGTGGCCTTGAATCTTGCAATGGGTGCAAAATGGTCTGTCTCGTTTAGATGATTGGGAAGATTGAGGTGAAGATCTGTATGGTAAGTAAGGTCGGTTAGCAGCGAGCGTCATAGACTCAGTAGAAGGGAGATTAGGAACCATGAGATGTTGCAGTTCTTGCTGTTAAACCATGGAAAATATTTTGTTTATGGGTGGTAAGGGGTCCAAGATCATAATCTGATCACGGGTGGCATTGAATGAATCATTAAGGCCCATAAGAAATTGGATTACACAATCCCTTTGATATCGGTCAAGAAGAACAGCCAGTTTGCCACAAAAGCAGTCAGGTAACGGATCATAAATAAAGAGCTCATCCCATAGAGTCTTAAGTTTACCAAAATAAACAGAAACAAAATCATTGTCTTGAGTCAAACCTGTTAATGCCTTTTTAAGTTGAAAAATCAGGTGACCATTTGATTGAGTGAATCTTTCTTTAAGTTCTTTCCAGACTTGAACAACATCATCAACCAAAACAATGCTGGATTTGAGAGAGGGATTAATGGAGTTATGTAACCAGGAAACTACCAGATCGTTACAGCGCTCACAAGCATCAAAAAGAGGATCAGAGGTTGATTCCGGTTTGGAGAAGTTGCCATTAACAAAACCAAGTTTGTTTTTGGCACGAAGGGCCCTACACATGGCTCTGGACCAGGAAGTATAGTTTTCGAAAGTGAGTAGGTCATGGACTAAGGGAAGCGATGGATTATCTCCATGATCAAGTCTGTAAGGATTGATGGGGTTGGAAAAATCCAGAAAAAGGTTTTTGGAAACAGCATCATCGCTTTTGGAAGCAACATCAGCCATTGAAAGAAAAAAAAATTTACTCTGTACCTCGCTCTGATACCATGTAAGAGTAACAGAAGAAAAGAAAAAGACAGAGCAGTGAATAATAAAAGGACAGAGCAGTGCTGCCGAAAGTGCTATTGCATTGATTGTATTGAATGAATAAAACTGTACATGATGCCATTGCTTTATACAAAGAAACAAAGTGTAACAAACCAAAGAATGCTATACAGCTAGCGTAACAACTTGTAACAAACTGAAAATTTACATAATGGTACAAGGACACCTCAGCTATGAATAAGACCATTTGGTAATTTTCCTAAACAATTATCATATGAGGTGTGTCCATCTGATATAGAATGTGGCTGTGTATCAACGTCTTTGAGGATGCCACGAGCTGCTGCATTTGCATGAGATGGACTAATGTTGGATTGCTCTAATAGACTGCAAGGATTTTTGTTTTGTTCATAAAAAATATCGCTACATCAATATTTCGTCTTATTTAAATAAATATTTTCTCTAATGTAACAATACAACACAATGTTCTGCATAAATGGTGAATGAAACTGATACAGCTTTGTTTACTCTAAAAAAGTGCTGAAGTAGAAGACAAATATTGCAAAATCAACAATGGAACTGCAATGTGGACAACTGTTTGAGACAGGCTGCTCTCCCTTCCTGCGAATACCACTAGTACAATTTGATTAGCAAGTAAAGCAATACTGAGTTCAAACTACTTTCTATTAGATAGATGAATACATAAAAAATTATTTATGGCTTCCTCAAATCTCTATTTGCAATTGTTTATTGTCATTCTGTAAAGAATATTTTTCGCAAGGCGTATTGATGCAAAACAAGTTAACACTTATAAAGATCGATTTTAAATATACAACAAGGTAGATCTCATTTCTGTGATGCATCAAGCATGAAATATACCTCTCTGTGTTGCAGAATTAGGCGGCGACGATGCTGCTGACGGACTTGCCGGTGATGGTGATGGTGAGGGTGTTGCCACATAAACTGTAGAGTCATAGAAAATATCTTTCTCGTACCTAAAATTACAACTAGGTGTAATAACTCTCCCTCCCTGTCTTCCATCACAACATTTCGGAATCAGTGAAGTCACATCATTTAGGCATTCAACACATTCCTGCTCGGACAAGTCAGGAGTACACTGCATAAGTGCATATATGGGCGGAGAGCCTGGCGTAGTTGAATTTCCTGTTGCAAACTTACGAAGAGGACCACCAGAGGCTGCTTTTTTTGTCAAGTTATTTAACAACTTTCCCAGGACTTCACGGAATTGACTCACTTCCGACACATTATTCACATTATACATCCAAGCATAAGGCGTATATTCCATATTACCAAACAAGGAACGATTTGAGTACCTTAACATACAATCGTCGTACCATACAACGGCTTCTTTCTGGGTGGGACAACTTTTTGTGAGCTGAAGAGATGAATTTTGGATGCAACTACGGCAGGTATCCGGCTTAACATCTCCTCTACAAAGTGCCATTGCGTTAACTTTGTCAGTCTCTCGGCCATACGAGGCGTTGTAGAAACCATAGTCGATTTCATTGTTAGAAGTGAGAGAGGAGAGGAGGTAATTGAGGTTTGCCTGGTAAGTACTATTTGCGGTGAAGTTTCCCTTGTCATTTAAACAGATGTTCGACAGCGGTTCATTCTGGGCAATGGTGAGAGAAAAAAGGTATATAACAATGGAACCCAAGATGAAAAGCAATTTTGGAGAAGCCATTGCTGTAGATAGTATCACTCACCTTACTTTTGTGGCCGTTAAATACCAAACTTAATGACTGATTGTTGTTTGAAATGGTCAATTACTCGTGTACCAGAAGCAATTTAGGTGGTCAGTGCAATGTATAAATGCAAAGTTTGATTTCATGTCGTGAACTGTGTTCTTTCAAATCTTCGATGTTTGGGCCCATTTTACTGAGACTCTTACTGTCTTACAGCTTAAGATGATTTTACACGTCAATTTGATTCAATGAGCGATTGTAACAAGGAACTTCAGTTGTTTAAGACACACTTCAAGACCGCAACAAGATCTTTGGAAACCTTTCAATCTAACATTTGGATTTTTTCTCTGAATTTCAATTTGTTTAAGCCATTTTCAAAAAGTTATATAATATATTTCAATAATACAGGATCAAAAATTTTGTGCATTATATATCTGTAATTCACAAGCGTTCATGAATATATGGTACCATTACTTCAAGACTACAACCATTTACTAGTCTATGCCCAAAGTGACCACTCAATTTCTAAACTCTGTCCTGCCATTACCTTGTTTGATTAGAAGAATTTGACAATATATTTAAAACATGTGGAAAAACTTTAATTGCAAAGATAGTGCAGAATGGAGCAAGAAGACCAAGACCGAATAATAATAATGAAAAGAGAATGCACAAGTATGACCATGTTTTGGGTTCAAAATACTAATTTCCAGCTTGACAAAGTTTTCTAAACTTATAATCATCGTTCTTAGCTTTTCGCCGGGATTGACGTTAGAACAAAGGAAACTTTTAAAAACCATACTTAAGATCTTCTCTTTTATTTTTTTCACCATTATTTATCTTTATTTTTAAATACGTGAAGCTCTGTCCATTAAGAAAATTCAATAACCATTGCAAATTTGCAATAATTCTCAACCAAATGAAATGCAAAGAGCCAAAGCTTTAGCTGCTTTTTTATAGTCCTGCTTGTTAATGATTTGAAATAGGAAAGCTTTTTCTGCTTTTTTAATATCTTATGAAATTTCACTAAAGAGAATTGATTAAAGTTCGAATCAATAATTTGATTAGAGTTTATTAAAATTAATGACTAATTACTTCAATTAATTGTTTGTTTAAAAGTTTTAAATTATTCCAAGTTTAAAATTATTAGAGAAGACAATTAGCATAAAGACTAACAAGTTTAAATTTTTTTGTTTTAGCAATTGTCACATGAGATAATTTACACAGTTAGGATCGTATATAAGTTTTTATGTATAACATTAATTCTCATATTAATGATAATAAATATTATTTTTCTTCTGTATGTTTATTAATATATCTAATGCATTTTCTTAAAGAATATTATATCATAAAATTATCATAATATAGATAAGAGAATTATATTCAACTAGACCATTTTCTATATTATCTTGTTATGATTATTGATAATTATAGATAAGAGAATTACAAAGTATTATTTAAGACTCAAGTTTTTTTCTTTTAAATCACTCTTTCTATCTTAAAAATACAAATGTATAAAATAACAAGACAAAACAAAAAAAAATAAATACTATTTATATTGATATTTACTAATAATATTTATAAAGTTATTATATAAAAAAATGCTTTCACATATTGATTGTTGACCGCTGGGTCAACCAGTGGTGGGTTCTTGCTTCAATTTTTCTTAGACGCTATAATAACAAAATTACCATATAAATCTTTACTGAACTCATAACAATTACTGCAATAAATAATTCTTCTAAGAAAAATCTTGCTTCCGAAATCCAAGTTCAAACCTGCCTTCTAGCCATCGCTCATCAAATTTAGAAAGCTTGAATACTTTATTTCATTTTACCAAGCAGAGACTTGCTGATGTTTAATTTCTTCAACAAGAATTAATATTTTATAACATGAAAATAGACCAGAAACTCAACCCTGATAGTGCAAATAATGCATTAGAACAGATATTCACAAACAGCATATTACAAAATTGTTTGACAACGTACTTGAGAAATCAGAATGCATAAAACAAATCCAGGCAGTAAACCAACTGGATGAAGGTGCAATCAAGGGGGCTCCACTAGTCTTATTCCAGCTTGCATACGGAGAATGACCTCAATCTTTCTTCAAACTCTGCACATTCTGTAATCATAACATAGCATGTTAAATTCACATAATAGAAGAAATACTAGAAACATACAATTTTTGGTTCATTATTTAACATCAAAATCGATGAATAAGCAAGTAGGTCCATTCATCAACAAGTTCCAAAAGGTTATAAATAATTTTAATAAGCAAGCAGGTTTCACCTTTGCATTATAGCGCCTTTGGAGCCAATCAAGTAAGACCCAAAGTATAAAGAGAAAAACTTTTATTCTCAAGAAATTGTTTTGAACACGATATTGAAGCAATTCTTGGATTATGAAATGTAAAATCTCATTCCTCATTTTCATTTCAAAAAAGAATTTTTCAAAATTAACTTCATAAAAAATATCCAAAAAGTATCTTGCATTTCAAACTTGCTTAACAATAGCTAATAAAGCAAGTAATAATGCCTTATAAAGCAAATAAAACACAACAGAAATACCTATAAGTTATTTGCATCTCTCCTCCGGCGATACAACAATGGGCACTACATTTCCTATCAGATTGGTTTTTGGTTGTAGAGAATCCCTCCAAAATATTTTCAAAGGGACAAAGAACATGTTTAGTACATGGAAAGAAAAAGTACATATATAGCCAAAAAAAAAAAAAATCAATGTATAGCTTTGCATAGACATCACAACAATGGGCAGGCTTTTGATATAAAGAAAACATTTTGATATGGTGTACCATGTGTCACCACCAAAAACCAAATGTTGCTCTAATGTTTATATTTCTGTCACAGAATTTTTAGGCTGGCATTTCGCGCAACATAGGTTCAAAGCAACCCAATAATAATTCTGTCCCAAGTTCACATCTTGCTTTCCACAGGATCAAAAATTGAAGGCGGCAAAGATCAAAAAGTTTAATGTGTCTCCATATGACCATATTATGCATCTATTAAAAAGAAGAGTGATTTGCACAAATTTACAGAACCAATTCACGAATAAAGATGTTAGACGTGGAAGAACACTAAAAGACTAAATCCTTAAGTGCTTGTTAATGATATCGACGAGTTAATAAATTAATCATTACTTAGGTGCTTGCAATGGTTTAACAGGAAATGAAGCAAGTAAACTTTCCAAATCATGAAGCTTGTTGAAGCCATCCTGAAACAAACAAAATGAAAATGAGGAAATCTGAAGAAATTTAAGGCAAAAGAAAATCTAGAAAGTACTTTAGCTCATACCTCCTGACTTGGAGCAGCTCTTGAATGGTTAGCCCTCTCTGGGGATAGCCTTCCTGCTGGAACCCCAACACAATCTTAGATGTCTCTTTGCCTCCCACTCCCATTTGCATCTTGTTCTTTTGCTGTATATCATCATCCTGAATGTGCAGGCAACACAATGCTTTTGATATAGTAAAAAACAAGAATGCAAGGTTTCCACCAATGAAACAGTAAAGGAAATAAATTAAACAGACATCAAACTAATAACTGAAACTACTTACTCAAGGCATTCTTGCTGCAAGGTAAACAAATTTTAAAATCGTGATAATAAAATAAAATAAAAGCAGACACCGATGTTTTACACTAGAATTTAATTAAGAGATAATCTATGTAACATTATGTTAAAAAAATGCATCTCTTTCAGACATTTTATCAAACGACTCTGCAACATCACTTAACATGATCAATCAGAAATATCAAACATAAAATTGAAGCTTCAATAAAAAAATAATTATCAAAGTCAATATTACCATACGAAATCTTCAGTTATACAAAGCATTCGCTCTTAAAATATAATTTAGAAGTCGAGCACAAGGATTTTGATTACTGCCGCTTGTGATGGTGGGTGCTAGCATCAGTGCCGCTGCAGCTGGAAAAGAAATGAAACTTGTTTGTAAGTTGATTGCTTGTTTTCATCTCACAACTCAATCTATCTTCACTCATGTATCTAAATTGCTTGTTACGAAATAATTATAATTATTTATTATAAATTTGTTTTTATAATCTTTTGTTACAGTAATTTCAATGTAATTAATTAATTATATTTTTATGACACTTAATAAATCCAAGTTAAATATGAAAATTATTTGTCAAAAGTTAATTCAACAGCAACACATGTAAAAACCCTAATACCAAAAAATGGAATTTGTTTCGTACATATATATTATTCTTAAATTATAAACTAATACATAATAATATTACGTAATGGTCCCCATAGTTTTGATGCAAAAATTGTAAAAACCCTATACCATATTCGTAAACATCTAACAGATAGTGGAATTAAGGTCATCATTCCACAAATATTGTTCATTGATCTTTTTTGTTCATGGTACTCTGTTTAATTTTGGTGTGCTTAAATCTCTTTGAGAAAAGATCTTCAAATGGGACATTGACTCACAATTATTTGTTCTAAGAATGAAAATTCGATAGCATAATTGTCCGAGCTGAAGCTTGTGAGGCTTGTTAACCAATGAAGCTCCAGAATTTTCAATTGGCTAAAAACAATCTCTTTCTCTGTTCTCCCTACCTCTTTTGCTATTATCTCTGTCATTGACTTGCATTCTCTTATGCTGATTGTCAATATCTTTGACAATCCATTACAACAGTGTACTTCCAAATTCTTAAGATATTTTAAGGAAATTGCTAAGGATGGCATCAAATATGTCAAATGGTGACATCTCTATACTCTCAAAGTTTGAAGATTTTGGATAAATGTTTCCACTTGGGAATCTTGTTTCCTTGTATATCCTTTATATATGAGAATACTTCTTGGAAAGTACAATCATTTAGACCAAGTGTTTCCGGATAATATGACATTTGAAGGAAATCACAGCCAAATGCAATTGAATTGTCATATAAGTTAGATACCCAAGCGATTTAAGCTTCCAAAAGTGCTTAGCTGGAATATGATCAAGGAATATGGAGGTAATGTTAGTGGTGCCTAAACCTAATCCTTGGCAACAACTTCCTCGAACCCACAAGAGTATATCCTCAACTCTT